TGTACGAGAGGGGAAACCGTTTTCACATTACACACTAGCGAGTATGGTTCCAATACCACATCAACTTGTAATTAATAGTCAAAAGGCTGTGAGAGCGCTCTTATAGAGGCGTTACACTCTTTCGCTCAGTGTTTCAGAGTGAACATTCCTATCGTTACTATCATCGGGTCGCGCCTTGTGGAAGTACAGTTTAAGCAACGTGAACAATACATGGTAAAAAGTCCCCGCTAAACATTAGACAAGATCTTTTTGCTACGACAAAAAATCCTAAAGTCTTCGGTATATCTTATTTGTTACCGACATAAAATACGTTGTAAATAGGTACCCGACTTTCCATTAAATCTACACAATACTCACTACTATCCTCTATAATAGATTACGTAGACTACTTCCGTCAACGGTACTTCAGACACTACTAGTCTCCGACCAACAACCCCGCACGGGTATTTGCCAAAAAAAAAGAAAAAAGAAAAACAATCCGTCTGGTAACCGTCCGGAGTCTCCCTCCAATTTGAACCCAGACGCCTGGTATCAAAATAACTAAAACAAAACTTTTAGGTGTCGCCTCCAAACAACAACATGATGTACGCCACAAAAAACGGTATAGAAGAGTCATCGGTGTGTTAGTTTAGTATTTGAGCATTATTTACATCAAGAATGTAAAGTATTATTTCACATTTTGGACTCTCCTAAAATTAGCCGTAAAACTTGATATTTACCGAATATGTTTAGATCAACATAAACATAACAACTAACATTACAACCTTGCTCCGCTTATTATTCTCTTCCAATCGACAGTTATAATCCGAATTAAACAATATATGATATACCTTACCCATTTCGTCCCGGATAACAAAACCCTATATAAACACCTCAATCACAAGGCACCTCACAAAAATAACGAATTCACCAGGAACCATACTCTTTTCCAAAACTCTTTTGTGACGCGATCACCTAACAGTTTCCCGCTCGGAGCAACCGCCCCTTTAAGTATGTCTACCGATACAGGCGGGGACTTTTTACAGATACGTTTGCAATTTATAATCTTATTATTATTTTTTATTATTTTTTACTAATTCCCTGGGGGTGAAAAACAATGACAATCTGCCACCGCCGTCCGCGCAATCGTGTTCACCGTCTCACCCTTCGTTTTTGAGCCAACGGCTCATACTTCGACTAGGCACTCGCCGTGCTGGTTCCGGTCTTCCTCCTCTCCGTCTTGTA